CATCCTGTCTTTCTTGATATTAGGAACCCCAACCAACAAACATATTCATTTTGAACCGAGTAAAAAGAGCTATATACTTGGTTGTTTGTTACTTTATTTCTTATTTGGGAAGAATGGGCAGTCTTGCACAAGTGGGGGTTGAAACCTAGAACTCTTGCATGTTGGCACGTTGCAGAGAGAAGCTCTTTCTTTCTCCTTTTTACAGTCATGTTAAACAGCACGCATAACTGGAAGTGGAGTAGGAGTAACGAATTTGATTTATCCATCATGAACCTGTTGGATAGCAGGTTCCTAATCTGTTTTGGTAATAGGTTATTAGAATTCCTAATATATTTTGGTAACATGATTCTTAATCTGTTTTGGCAACATGTTATTAGGATTCCTAATTTGTTTTGTTTTTTGTTTTAGAATTCCTAGTCTATTTTGGTTTTAGGTTTTCTATATATATGGAACGCCTTAGAAGAGATTAGGATCATAAAAAAAGAGGAGAGTTGTAATTAGAGATTAGAGAGATTTTTGAGCATTGTGAGAGGAAGATATTGTGAGCTAGTTGAGAGCTTTGATTGAGAGTTAGTTTGTGAGTTTTGTGAGATTGTAACCCTTTGTACTCTCATTGATTTAGTGAAATCTCCTCATCTTCTCCCCGTGGACGTAGGTAAATTGTCGAACCACGTATATCTCTGTGTTTGTGATTGATCTGTTGCATTTTAGTTTTGGATTGTGCTCGTGTGTGATTGGTTATTCTTCTCCCGTGCTTACGACTTGTTTGGTGAATTTTAGTTTTGGATTGTGCTCGTGTGTGATTGGTTATTCTTCTCCCGTGCTTACGACTTGTTTGGTGAGTGAGCACGCTTCCGTTGTGCTCGTGTGTGATTGGTTATTCTTCTCCCGTGCTTACGACTTGTTTGGTGAGTGAGCACGCTTCCGCATAGACGCGCGACAATTGATATCAGAGCTCAGATTTCAGATCTAGGGTTTTGGGATTAGGTAGAGGAAGATTCATCGTGAAAACTTGGTTCTTAGAGTTATAGGCTTCGGTAGAGATATGATTTGAAGTTACCGTTGGAGATCTCGCTTTCCTCGTGTGGTTAGGAGTTCTATTTGTAATCCAATCTAGGGTTCAGTTGGGTAATTCCTCAATCCTTTTAAAGTTTGAATCTTTCTTTGTAATTTGGAGTCAGTGATTATAGGTTAAGAAGTTAGTGAAAGCAGCAAGATGACGGGTACAGTCCAAGTTGATTTTCAGAATATCAAAATTAGTGTGATGAAGTATGACGGCAAGATCAACTTCGGTTTGTGGATGAGCGACGTTCAAGATGCACTCAATGCTCAGAATTTGGAGGAGACTATCACGGTCCAAGAGAGACCACCAAAATATGAAGAGAATATATGAGAAAAAATAAATAGGAACAATTGTGGGGTGATCAGATCCTGTTTGGAACAGGAATTAAAGTATAATGTGATTGGGGTGACGTCTGCAATGAAGATATGGGAAATTCTCAACAATAAGTACCTTACGAAGAGTGTTGAGAACCGTTTACACTTGCTGTGAAGATTATTCAGATTTCAGATGTCCCGAGGCACCTCACTAGCGGCTCATATGAACAACTATACTAAATTATTGTCGGACTTGACGAATGTTGATGAGAAGATATCGGATAAGTACAATGCAATTATTTTTTTAGGCTCCTTACCGGATAAGGAGTATGACACCTTCGTGCTCACTTTGTTGAATGAGAGGTCTTCTATCAACTATAGTGAAATTACTAATGCTTTGACAAACTATGATTTGAGGAGGAAAGACAGAGATTTCTCACGCTAGTTCTTCAGGAGAAGCCTTGTCGACGAGAGATAGAAGCTCATATCCAAAAAAATGGTAATAGAGGAAGGTCAAAGTCAAGAGGTCATCACCAACTAGGAAAAAATCAATGTGCATTCTGCAAGAAGCAGGGACATTGGAAGAGAGACTGTCCAAACATCAAGGAGAAGGAGAATAGCAAGAAGAAGGGTCCGAAGGCCAATGAGGTGAATATTGCGAAAGTGATTATTCCGATGATTCGAGTTTTTCTCTATTGATTACTCCGGAGGTGAACCACTTGGATGCATCAAATTAGATGCTTGATTCTGATGCTATTTATCATGTGACTCCTAAACGAGATTGATTTTCATCATTTGAGAGACTCGATGGGGGTGTTGTTATCATAAAAAATGATCAATCCTACGGTATTTGTGGGATAGGTACTGTGATGATTCGGATGCACGATGGAATAGTCCGTGAATTGAATGAGGTGAGATTTATTTCTCAGTTGAAGAAGAATCTTATCTCAGTTGGAGCTTTGGAGGCGAATGGATTCAAGGTGAAATTTGAGGATGCTGTAATAAATGTTACTAAGGGATCTTTGGTGGTGATGAAGGGAGTCTGCAGTCGAAACTTATATTATCTGAAGGGGCGAATCGTGATTGGCCAGGTTGCTTCAGCTATTTCAGAGGCGGACATTAGTAGATTTTAGTATTACAGATTGGGGCACACAGGAGAGAAGTTACTGTAGATGCTGTGCAAGCAGGAACTATTGAAGGGAGTCAATAATGTAAAAGTTAAGTTTTGTGAGCACTGTGTTCTTGACAAGAAAACGATGGTGAAGTTCGGGACAACCATTCATAGGACGAGGGGCATACTGGATTATGTACACACGGATGTTTGGGGTCCTATCAAGACTGCATCACTTGATGGTAGATATTGGTTCGTCACGTTTGTTGATGACTATTCTAGGTATTATTAGGTGTATACCATGGCGAAGAAGAGTGAAGTGCTAGATACATTTGTGGAGTGAAAGAAGATGTTAAAACTACAGACTGAGAGAAAGATCAAGACGTTACAATTCAACAATGGTGGTGAGTACACATCAGACCCTTTTCAGCAGCTATGCCGAAACGAGGGCATAGAGAGAATTCACAGTTAGTCATACACCGCAGCAAAATGGGGTGACAGAGAGGTTAAATCGGTGTTTGTTGGAGAAGATACGATGTTTGTTGACAAATGGTGATTTGAAGATCTTTTGGGTTAAGACACTTTCATATGCGAACCACCTCATTAACAGGCTGTCTTCATCTGCGATTGAGGGAAAGACCCCTATGAAGATGTGATCGGCATAACCAACACACGATTATGACCAGCTCAAGGTATTTGGGTGTCCTGTATACTATCATGTGAAGATTGATAAGTTAAAACATCGAGCTAGGAAGATCATATTTGTAGGATTCAAGTACGGTGTTAAGAGATACAAGCTTTAGGATCCAGTTGATAGGAAGATTGTGCTGAGTAGAGACGTCACGTTTGATGATGCTTCTATCTTGAAGCTTCTCGGCTCTCATCAGGTGGAGAACCCGATGGAGGAAATATCACAGGTGGTAGAGATCGATGCAGCTTCACATTATCCAGATGGTACAACATCCATTAGAGTGCCGACTGAGATGACGTCAGAGGAGCACGACGACGACGAGGATACATGTACAGTTATGCAGGATCAGGGACCCACGACGCAGGTTTAGGATTCTATTACGGTTCGGAGACAGAGAAGAGACATACAGATGCTAGCACGGTATATCGACACAGTAGTTGCATATGCACTTCCGATGAAGAATATTGATGAGTTGGTGCCTACTACATTCAGAGAGACCGAGCAGAGTTCGAAGGCTGATTCGTGATAGGTAGTTATGCAGGACGAGATGGACTCTCTTCACAAGAACGATATCTGGGAGCTTGTTGAGCTTCCAAAGAGGCGAAAGATAATTGGTTGCAAGTGGGTATACACGAAGAAGGAGGGCATTGAGGGCACTCCATTGAGGTTCAATGCTAGGTTGGTTACGAATGGCTATGCACAGGAGGAATGTATTGATTATAATAAGGTTTTCTCTCCGGTGGTAAAGCATTCTTCGATTCGGATTTTACTAGTTTGGTGGCACAGTATGGATTGGAGTTAGATCAGTTGGATGTGTGATCTTGATGAAAAAATAGATGACTTAGCCATTGGGATTCCGAGCTGCAGGGAAGAAAAACCTGGTTTACAGGTTGAAGAAATCGCTATACGGTTTGAAGCAGTCTCCTCGATAGTGGTATAGGCGATTCGATGATTTTATGATTGGTCATTCGTACACTCGGAGCCAGTTTGATCCTTGCGTGTACTTTCGCAAGTTGAAAGGAGATGCGTACATCTATTTGTTGCTCTATGTTGATGACATGTTGGTTACCTCTATTTGCAGGTCTTATATAGATGAGTTGAAGCCACAGCTTTCAAAGGAGTTTGAGATGAAGAATTTGGGTGAGGTTAAACGCATTTTGAGGATGGAGATCGGCAGAGACAAAGAGAATGACAGAATTTGTTTGACACAGGTGACATATTTGAAGAAGGTTCTACATCGATTTCATGTTAACATGGATACAAAGTCAGTTAGTGTATCTTTGGTAGCCCATTTGAAGCTTTCAGTTGACCTCTTACCAAAGACGGTTAAAAATCAAAAGTTGATGTCGAAGACTCCATATGCGAGCTCGGTTGGGAGCTTGATGTACGCGATGATATGTACAAGGCCAGATTTGTCATAGACGGTGAGCATGATTTTGAGATACATATACGATCCAGGGGTGGATCATTGGGACGTCGTGAGATGAATTTTAAGGTACATTCGAGGTACGCTCAATGTTGGTTTGGTTTATGAACAAGACACTACAGGTGGGTAGTTGTGCATTGACTATGTTGATTCGGATTATGCTAAAGATTTGGATAAGCGCCGGTCTACGACGGGGTATGTGTTCACTTTGATCCGTACGCCGGTGTGTTGGAGATGCATCTTACAGTCTACGGTGGCTTTGTCTACGACGGAGGCAGAGTGTATGACAATTACGGAGGCTATAAAAGAGGTTATTTGGCTTCGAGGGCTTTTGGAGAAACTTGGTATATCACAGCGGTCCGTCACTATTCATTGTGATAGCATGAGTGCTATCTATTTGACAAAGAATCGAATTTTTTCATGCGAGGACGAAGCGCATTGATGTTTGTTATCATTTTGTTCGAGATGTTCTTAAAGATGACGATGTGGAGATTGTGAAGATCCACACGAAGGATAATCCGACGAATATGCTCACTAAGATGGTTCCGAACAATAAGTTTGATCATTGTAGAAGCTTGTTGCACATTCATGATTGTTGAGGCCATTGACGGCCATTTGGATGAACTACGGACGGCTTGATCTCTTGGGAGAGGGAGTACGTAGGCAACCATATTGGTACAGTCGAATTTGATGAGACGACTCATAGGTGCTCATGTTGGTGTCAGCTCAGTTTTGGGAATACTTCGCCGAGGTGGAGAATTATTGGATAACAGATTCCTAATCTGTTTTGGTAACATGTTATTAGGATTCTAAATCTATTTTGGTAACATGATCCTTAATCTGTTTTGATAACATGTTATTAAAATTCTTAATTTGTTTTGTTTTTGGTTTTAGAATTCCTAGTCTTTTTTGGTTTTAGGTTTTCTATATACATGGAACGCCTTAGAAGAGATTAGGATCATCAAAAAAGTTGAGAGTTGTAATCAGAGATTAGAGAGACTTTTGAGCATTGTGAGAGGGAGATATTATGAGCAAGTTGAGAGATTTGGTTGAGGGTTATTTTGTAAGTTTTGTGAGATAGTGACCCTTTGTACTCTCCTTGATTTAGTGGAATTTCTTCATCCTCTCCCCGTGGACGTAGGCAAATTGCTGAACCACGTATATCTCTGTGTTTGTGATTGATCTGTCGTATTTCTGTTTTGAATTGTGCTCATGTGTGATTGGTTATTCTTCTCCCGTACTTACGACTTGTTTGGTGAGCGAGCACGGTTCCACATAGGCACGCGACAGAACCAACTTCCATAACAGGGTAGAAAGTCAACTCTTTTTCATAGGTGAAGTTAGCTCAAAATGTATTAATAAATTATAGCATATTTCTGCAAGTTAGCTATATATGAAAGTGACTTCCCTTGACATCAAGATTTTTTTTAAGGAAGAACCAAACAGCTCACCTCATTAAAATGTCTCAAAAGTAGATTCTTTGTGACCCTTCCGATGCCAGAACCACAATCTGCAACAATTTCACACAATCACAACCTCCAAATGCCGTCAAGATTCAAAATTCATCCAAAAATCTGAACACCATACACAATTAACAATTACCAAGTGCAACAAGATGGCACCTTTCCATCCCAAATCGAGCGGGCAAAAGGGTTTTGAGGAAAGCTTCGCTTCCCTTGACGTCAGCATCGTTGACGTGGCCGTAGCCACCAAGAACCCCGTCAACAGACGCCTCAATGCCCTAGATACTCAGAAAATTCTTGTTGAATTCGGAAACAAAGTCAAAAAAAAAGGATTTGGGAAATTTAGGGTTTTAAGAGGTGATGGTTGCTTACTTGCCAGTAGGAGATGCCCTTGGAGTACCAATCATGGCGTTTGCTGTTATCGGTGTTGTTGGAATCGAGTTCGTCGAGGCCGATTTCTTCTCTCCACATCTCTTTGGCGCTTTTGATTTCTCTTCCGTTGGTGTCTAGTCCGCCGAGGTCCATTGACGGCGAAAGCAGTGGCAACAGCGGAGGAGGAAATTAGCGGGGATCAAAACTACCGGTTGGGGTTTTAGGGGTTGAGAATGGTGAAAGAGAGCAGTAATATACTGGTTCCTCAGCTCTACTTGCTTTTGCTCACTTATAGCCTGTTTGGATGGAGGGTAGAGAGGGGGAAGGGAAGGGAAGGGAAGGGAAATTTTATTTTAACCTTGTTTGGGAGTTTCATTTTGGAGGGTAGAGGAGGGGAATGGAGGGGAAATTTGGCCCAAATTCTTACACCCCAAATTGGGGTGTAATGGAGGGGAAGGGAAGGAAGGGGAAAAATTCCCCTTCCTTCCCCTTCCTTCCCTTCCCTAAGTAAACTCCCAAACACACCGTTAGGGCCTGTTTGGATTCGTAAGGGGTGAAGGGAAGTTAATGGAAACTGAGTGAAGGGAATGGAAGGAAAAGGAAGGGAAGGGAAGGGAATTCCCTTCCCTTGGTTACACCCCAATTTGGGGGTAACAATTTTTATACTATGAGGGGGTGAACCAAGGTGAATGGAGGTGAATTAACTTCACCTCCTAAGTGTTCCCAAACAAGGTGAATGGAGATGAATGGTTCCCCTAACTTCCCTTCACCCTCATTCCCCTCAATCCAAACAAGCCCTGGGCTTGTTTGGATTGAGGGGAATGAGGGTGAAGGGAAGTTAGGGGAACATTCACCTCCATTCGTCTTATTTGGGAACACTTAGAAGGTGAAGTTAATTCACCCTAGTTCTCCTTGGTTCACCCCCTAATAGTATAAAAATTGTTACCCCAAATTAGGGTGTAACCAAGGGGAAGGGAATTCTCTTCACTTCCCTTCCCTTCACTCAGTTTCCCTTAGACCCTGTTTGGATTGAGGGTAATGGGGGTGACGGGAAGGGAGGGTAACTTTTAACCTTATTTGGGAAGTAAATATAGCAAGTTAATAGGGGTGAGGGGAGGTGAAAGGAGGTGAGAAAATACCATGATCCCAATTTGGGGTGTAATGGGGGTGAAGGTAAAGAGGGGGAATACAACAAATGTAGAGAGACATATTTACCCCCAGCTAAGATCAAAATCCAACGGCTAAAATTTTAGAAACAAATGTGAGGGTATTTATGTAAGGGTATTTATGTCAAGTTATATACATTCCCTTCCCTTCCATTCCCTTTATTACACTTTCCAAACGGGGTGAAATAACTTCCCATTGATTCACCTTACTAGTTTCCCAAACAAGTTTTAGAAATTCCCTTCCCTTTCCTTTACTTAACTTCCCCTAGGTTCCCTTAACTTCCCTTCACCCCCTCCAAATCCAAACAAGCCCTTAACTTCCCTTCACCCCCTACAAATCCAAACAGGCCCTTACTGTCTTTAAATTTAAACTTTAGTATTGTGATTACTTAGTTTTTTAATGTTAATTTAAATTTTTTATATTAATAATTAAAATTGATAAGAAATAAATATAATCTGAAATTATTTTAAATTATTATGTTATTTGAACCGACAGTGAAATCAAGCTTGACCTTAGATAGTATAATATTACAAATGTAAAAAATATTTGAAAAAATAAAGTTATAAAAGGAAGATGAATAATTAAGGCTATTAAGACAAAATGATCAATTAAAAGTAGGCTAAAATGATACAAAAGAGAATATAGAGTTTGTTCCTAATTCTTGATAGACTTTAATAAAAATTATAAATTAAAGATTGGTTCTAACTCTAGTATACTTTTATATGATAAAAACATCCACATAAGTATATAACAATACTAAAAATAGTTCATGAAAATCCCTTCAAGATTTCTAATTTATTTTAAAAAAAACTATTCTAGAAATATCCAGAAAATAGTGTTTTTCATTTTTTTTGTTTCATTTTTAACTAGTATGTACCCCGTGCCGAGCACGACCCTCGTCTCCTTTTATAACTCTATCTTTTTTGGACAATTAAAAATATAAAGCATATTGAACTTTATGTTTAAACAAATTTCTCATATGACACGTACATGAAGTTACTATAAATTATTCTCTTGTGCTGATAGGCACACGTGTCTATTGTGACTTATTGCCTAGTTAATCGAGAGTAAATGTTAAGTTTCTGATTCTTGAACTTGAAAGTATAACAATTTGATTCTTTGGAGATTGATGGCTCGAAACACAAACATCTAACTATCCTAAAGATGACATACAACGTGGCAACTGATGAGTTAGTTGAAGTCATTAAGGATAAAAGACTGCAGCATCAGGTTTCAAAGTCATGGCTCCAAAGAACACTGCTAATGAGATTGCATTTTCCGCAATAAGACGTAGGTTTCAAAGTCATGGCTCCAAAGAACACTGCTAATGAGATTGCATTTTCCGCAATAAGACGTAGCATCAACAATCATTTAACATTAGTCGCAAAATATAAGATTGCATTTTCCGCAATAAGACGTAGCATCAACAATCATTTAACATTAGTCGCAAAATATAAAAGAGATAGATTTGAATATACTTAGTTATTAAAGCAACCAAATTGCAAGGAACAGGCCAAAGCCAAAAGAAGAAAATCTAAAATTTTAAATTTTATATATGTAGGAATTATATTAGAAAAGGAACAACGAATTATATTAGAAAAGGAACAACATTAAAAGATATAGTTATTAATTAAGAACATAATTAAATAAAAGTTGTTATGATATTATTATTCTAAGAGTAATAAGAACCATAGGTATCTAAATATTCGATTCATTCTAATTTCAACTTCTACTTGGAAAACAACATAAACCTGATTTGAGAAGGATGCGACTAGATTGATGAGAAGACCATGAAGCCTAAAAACCAAAACCTGGCCAACAAAAAAAAGGAATAATATTCGTATGAGAATAAAATTAGCACATAAATTATGGCAAAAGAATATAAAATTATGGCAGACATATCATTTTATATGCTCAAGGTTCCTAAAAGAAAAAATAGAATATAAAGGATTTTAATACATAGTAAACAAAAAGAATACAATAACAAATAAAATGAAACCTCCAAATAATTAGCAATATTTCTTCCTCCTATTACATGGTTTTCTTCTGAGGATTGCTTTTGTGAGGTCTTTGATTTCTGAGAAGTTCGGCTACATATTAAAGGATAAAGAGTTGAAACAATTGAGATTGTCATGAGAGAGTTGGAAAAAAACAAATGACATAGTCAAACAAATTGCACATAAATTTTTTTTGATATTCAAACTTCATAACTGATGAAATTGGTCAAAAAGGATTCCTATTAAGAAATTAAATCAACGTTGAAGATAGAAACAAAGGAGATCAAAAAGGATTCCTATTAAGAAATTAAGTTTGACCTTAGATAGTATAGTATTACAAATGTAAAAAAATACTTGAAAAAATAGAGTTATAAAAGGAAGATGAATAATTAAAGCTATTAAGACAAGATGATAAGTTAAAAGTAGGCTAAAATGAAACAAAAGAGAATATAGAGTTTGTTCCTAATTCTTGATAGACTTTAATAAAAATCATAAATTAAAGATTAGTTCTAACTCTAGTACACTTTTATATGATAAAAGCATCCACATAAGTATATAACAATATTAAAAATAGTTCATGAAAATCCCTTTAAGATTTCTAATTTACTTTAAAAAACTATTCTAGAAATATCCAGAAAATAGTGTTTTTCATTCTTTTTGTTTCATTTTTAATTGAGCCAGCATCAATTTTTCTCCACTTTTATCTTCTTTGATAAAATTAGACAACATTTAGATTTTAAAAAGGGATAGTAAATATTAAATTGAAAGTTAAATTTATATATCTTAATGAAAGGACATCAAACAACTACTATTTTCTTTGCTAAATTTTAAAATTCTAGTCGTGTTTTTTTGTGATTTTGAATTTTTAAGGGTGTGTTTTCCAAATTTTGAAACTTTGAGAGTGTTTTTAAAATTTTAAATTTTAAGTTGGTGCTTGTAATTTTCATGTTTCTTATATTGGTAGTAAGTTTTTTTTGCATATCTAAAATTTTGAATGTGTTTTTTTATAATTATTAAGACTTTAGATTGTTTTTATAAAACTTGCAATGGTCTGCTAATAATTTCTAGATTTGATATATACCAAGGTTTTTTATGATTTTTAACTTTTGAAGGAGTTTTAGATTCTTTTTTTACAAATTTTAAATTTTTAGGTGTCTAATGGTAATCCTTTGAATTCATCTTTGTTATTTGCAAGTTTTAAAATTTCAGAATTTTAGGATAATTTTTTATTGTTTAAATTTTAAGGATGTTTATATAATTTTTAAAACGTCGACAATGTTAATTGTAGATTATTAAATTCTTAAGAGGCTATTGTTAATTTCCAAATTTCATGTCTATTATTTTAAGTTTTGAAATGTCAAGATGTTTTGTGTAATTTTAAACTTTTAAACGTACTTTGCATAATTTTTGAAATATTTTGGGTTATTTTATAATATTTTATATATTATAGCATGTCTGTTATTTTAAGTTTGAAACGTCAAGATGTTTTGTGTAATTTTAAACTTTTGAGCGTACTTTGCATAATTTTTGAAATGTTTTGGGTTATTTTATAATATTTCATATATCATAGCATGTTAGTTCTTTATCTTAACAAACTAATACCATAGAGTTGTTTCATATATTTTATTAATCGTATTTTTTTAAAATTGTTATGTTGTAGGTAGTTCACATAGGATTATGATAGGATATATAGGATAGATTAAGATTTATATGAAATATTAAAAATAGTGAAGGGTAATATTGACCATGAAAAACTTTTCTCAAACTCGTACTTTTAAAGGGATGTATATATATATATATATATATATATATATGAGAAATATGGAGAAACTTGGTACCAAGTTTCTAAATTGAACTTGGTAGTGAGGTGGTCAAATCTAGTCCATACATCATGCATTGGAGAGAGAGCCTCAATCACTATTCACCTAATTTAAAAAAGAGGCTCCATCTCCAATGCATGATGTATGGTCTAGATTTGACCACCTCACTACCAAGTTCAATGATCGATAGACAAAAATACTTTTGGGGTTCAAATACTAATCCATTAAGTAAGAGTAAGTTGTAAACTTTACTAAAAACAACTAATCATAAAATTCACCTTATGATTATCTTAATTTTGTAGGAGAGACGATCATATCATCAC